CCCCACCCCCCTAATTCTTTTTTACTGCATATCTCATCAATTGAGTTTTTAATTATGCAAACACAGATAGCTGAAGTGATGGCTACAGTACAGTAAGAAAACCAAGGGGGAATGCAAGCTACTACAACATGGTGTCTGTTTTAGATGCAAAAGCAGAATTAGCTAGGGCTTTGCTGCTTTCTGAAATGGAAGGTAGTAAGGACAGTGTCTGGTTTTAGCTATAGTTGGTCTCTCTCACTAACCAGTCCAAAACCCATGCCTTTTATCATCCTTCTGCCTTCTGATAAGCAGGGCTGGCTGGCTTGCTCTCCTGCAGTATGCTGCTAAACACTTAAGGCTTACCCCATTACCTGGCTAGAAGAACCCACACTTCCAGATGGAAGCAGGCTACCTGCATCATTGATTCTGCTTCATTTTTTCCAGGGAGGTGCTTTATGCATGCTGTTGGAGCTCTGGGAATTATTGAAATACAGAAATAAGCTTTGCTTCAGTGTTACAGTGAAGCCTAGCTAGTAAACCGGCTCTCCCCATACTTTGATTTCCTCTGGCATCCAGAGGAAATGAAGGCTGTCTCCAGGATCTGACTGCATGAGAGATCACTATGAAACATCTGGGAAGAGGCAAAAAGGGGCTTCGTGAAGTGCTGCTGCAAAGCTCTTTAACAACAATAGGTGGTGGAGTATTGGCAGGTCCATGTTAGCATTGAAGATGTTCAGTACTCAAATCTGTAGTGCTGCAGCCTTCCTCATTCACGACTGGAGACACCGCTGTGCTTCTGAATTTCTTATTGCCCCTAGTGTCTTCAAAGCTTAAGAGAACAAAATTGCTTGGTGAACATATCAAAATAGCAAACTTCCTTAAGATCTTCATGCCTGTTCTTCCTGGCCATGGGTGTCAGGACAAATGCTTCCTCACCAATTGGATGGCGGTACAGGGCCCTTGAAATTTACAGTTTTTTAATGAAGGAAAGTTCTCGCCCTTATAGTTGTGAAGAAAGTGTGAACCAATGTAATCCTGCCATGTGAAGCTTGCAGGCAGTTCTGCTCCTGCTTTGTTTGCCAAATGGAGCAAAATGGAGTTGACAAGGCTGGTATAGCACGTTGCTGTGCATAGTAGTGAACAAAGGTATTATACATTTGGGATAAGCCACGTTGGAAAAATACATCAGAGCTATTCGAGAGTGGAAAGGGTAGCCTAACTCTAAACAGAGGAGTTAGGACAAAGGAGAGAAGTGGAGATACCAAAGCAGCTATGGAGTTCATGAGTTGGAAAGAAGACGGTCTGTTTCTCCTGCTTTTCAGGAACCCAAGTTGCAGTAAAGAATTTAGCAAGTTTCACAAAGAAGTTGGATGGCTATTATGGGTACTATAATTCTGCATAGGTCTTAGTAGCATTTGAAAGGCATAAGAAACCTCATGCTTCAGGATTTAAACTAATCACCTATTAAAGATCATAATGAGACCTTATATATGGGATGGATGGCCACATATCACACACCCTCTTGAGGCAGCTGGTACTGGCCATTGCCCAAAATAAGATACTGCGATCTGGTATGGCAGCATCTTGAGGTCAGTGATGGTTTATAATGTCTTGGATTTGATCAGTCAGTACTTGATTAGGAAGCTAGAGCCATGGAGCAGATTACAGGGACAGCATCCTGTTAGGCTTCCCAGCAACTGAGCAGTAGCCTGAGTTTGTCACCCTAGCATTACCCTTGTATGTGCCTGTTGGTTAGGTTCTTCTGTGTTTGAACTGGTCTCTAATCAGGTATGTGCACTTTCCAGTCCTATGATTGCTGGGTTGTAATTTTCTTTAAAAAAAGAAAACTCCATTATGCAATACCGTAAGCCGTTTTGCCAACAGCTCACTGGTTTTAAGACTGGCCTATCTTTGCAACCAGAATCACAACCTGGTTACCTGCACTGCATTGGAGGAACCAGAATGTCCCTGTATTGTCTGATCCTATGACAGCCCTGGAGATGGAAGTATTTTGTGGTGGCTCTGTTTTGGGGACATCTGTCCAGAAGGAACCAGGCTGAGACTCTCTTGACTCCGCATATAGCCCAGAAATGACCGCTGAATGGTGTGAGGCAAGGATTTCTTAGGGTAATACCTTTTATTGGACCAGCTATGTAGTTAGGATAAAGTTAAACAAGATTTTGAATGGAAGGTGTTCTTCAGGTACCAAGTGCCAGTAACTCTTGATTGTATTATGGGTCTCATTCCAATTGATGTCATGGTGTTGCTCTTAGTGTCTTGCCCGTTCACTTTCAGCTCTTGAGAAATATTTGTCTCATCCTTGTTCATTTGCAAGTTAGGACCAACTTAAGTATGATGATTTTTGGATCTCAGCCCAAGAATTGGATGTCCAGGAATGTTTCCTGTTCTTAAGAGTTGCTGTAT